GCTTCTAAGGTAGTCTGCAGCTTGCAGGTGCGGTGGAGAATGCTGTGCAAGCATTTGCCCTGGAGACAGGTCCATAGGCCAGTCCAGCCAACTCTTGTACACACAGTGGGAGGGGCACCATCTTGTTCTGTGCCTCAGGCAGCAAGAGGTCTTGGCCGGCCCTGCAGCTCTGGACAGACAAAAGGTTGCCTGCATCTTTACACATGAGCAGTCTGTAGTGTTATGGCAGCAGGGAAGAATACTGAGAGAAATAGGGATGGCTGAAAGACACACTGGGACAGAAAGCAGGACTGACACCAAAAAACTAGTGGCCGAGAAGACTTCTGAGATGTGACACCAATACCAGGGGAGGCCATGGAGAAGATATTAACTGGCTCTCCAGTGTGGTGTAGTGGTGAAGAGCATGGGACTGGGACTCAGGCGATCTGGGTTCTAGTCCCCGCTCAGCCATGGAGCCAACAGGGTGACTTTGGGCCAGTCACAGGCTCTCAGCCCAACCTGCCTCACAGGGTTGTTGTTGTGGGGATAAGATGGAGGAGGAGAATGATGCAAGCTGCCTTGAGCCCTTTGTAGGAAAAAGGCAGGATATAAATTGCAATATAAATAAATAAACAAAATTAAAATCAGGGAGTTTCAGAATATGAGGGGTTAAGACTAGACCATTGTAGCATATTGCAAAGGCATCATAGACTTGCAAGATATGAATTTTAAGAATCCATTTTTGGGAATGTGACAATGTGAAAAAGTACAGCTAAAGCTTCCATGGGTATCCATGTTTACAAATGTGTTTCCAGCATCAGAAAACAGGCATGGCCTCTTTTCAATGGAATGAATTCACAGTAATTGATACATTAAGATTATTACAACCTTTATATATGTCCTACAGCTGCTAGCAAAAGCTTGGTTGTTTTCAAATCCCACTGGGTTCTTCTTCAACTTGTCAGGTCAAAGGTGTCACAAATTAGTCCCAAAACAAATCAATCATTTCTTTCTTTATTCCAAGCAAACAAGTCTGAAGGATGGACCAGCTCTATTTTGCTTGAAGAATTCACATTTAAGCCAACGGCACTGCTAATATTGTAAATCAACTGAAGTCAAATTGGCTCCTAGTCTATTTCATTCTAAATTAGAATACTGTTGTTCATTTAAAAAAGTCCACCAGCGACACACAAAATGCTCTTTGCTTGACTGCTGTAATAGCTGTTTTATTCTTGACATGTATCAGCAGGAATTCAGATGGCATTCGGGGCATTTATTTATTTATTTCCTTTGAAAGCTCCATGCAGCCCTGCTGCTTCTAATGAGTTTGTATTTGTCAAATAGGCTTTATGCTTAAATAAAAGGTTAATGATAAACAACATTTCTTGAACCGCTGGGCACACCACCCAAGTGTATAGTGTTCATCTCGAACAAACCAGAGTTCAGAAAAGGATTTATACAAAAGATATGAAAATGAGCATGCTATTTTGGCATTAACATGTATTTACCAAAATAAAAGGAAATGAGGAAATGGAAGAACTGTACCCTGCAAAAAAGTGTTTAGTATAGATTTGCAGGCTAACAGTCTTAAGAAGATATTTGGAAAGAATGCTGTGCTGAAAAATTTTCCGCATTTTTTCTCAGGGATCCTCATTCAGTTTGCTAGAAAATGAATCGCTTAAAAAAATCAGTGGTGATGAAAAAAAACCCAGTGAAATATGTATGAACTTCCTACTCTCAGCTTACTTATGAAGTGGCCAAGATATGCTTTCATTTGCTAGAAGCCTGCAGCCACTTCAGCTTCCCAAACTTCAACCTGAATCCAGGGGAAGCTGTCCCGAGTAATTCCTCCCATGGAACTCAACCTGGGAGGGTGCAAAGCAATGGAAAAATTTATAATAGAAACACATATAGCATACTTGGCTGCCTTGTGGTGATTAGGCAAGCTCAAACACACCTCAAGAATGTTAAAGCATCCCTCAAATGAAGCAAAAGATGGAAGCCTCTTTCTTTGGGGAAGAAAAATTCCAGGAAATTGGGTGACTGATTCTGGCACATTATGAACTCCACCCCTTCCCTGGAACTGGATGCCATGGCAGTGTCCTTATCTTTTCATTATAGAGGATGAAAAAATGGGGTCCCTCCTGTCAACACATGGATGCTGTTGCCACTTACAGTGACAGTGTGATCCCCCCGCTTTAAAAAAAACACAAAAAATAAAGAAGCAATGCTGCAAACCTTGCTAATGGTGAACCTTACCTGTGAGCAGCTGTTGAGAAATTCAGCAAATTCTCCCCTTGTCTGCAGCAATTTCTCTACTCACAAGTAGACCATTGGTGTATGGTTCTATTTGGAATGACGGAATTAAGGGTCATGATGAATTAGGATACCTTTTACTGTACTATGGTTAAGGCACAATCCTATACATGTTTAGACCAAAAGGAGTCAGAAGCCTTACAGTATAAATGTCAAGAAGGTAGGTTTACAGTCTAAAAGGATATGATGCATGAGGTGACAGGAACTGGAAATGGGGGGGGGGGGAGAGGAAAAAATGTTGGCTGAGAAGACCATTGAGATCACCTAGAATCTTCTTTCTGTCTTCCAGGGGATTAGCTATTCCACCCAGTTTTCATCTGCAGATGTAATCATTGTTCATATCACTGCACTTCCTCATTTATTTTATTTATTTAGAATTTTTGTATGCCGTCCCATCACTTATAGCCTTGGAACAGCTCACATAAATAAATAAACATAATACATAAAAAATAATACAATTAAAAACCCAGAGTCACCCTGGCTGCAAAATTAAAACCTACAAGTATTATTAAGAGTTGTTAAAATATCATTTAAATAAAAAGGTCTTAGCCTGGCGCTGAAAAACAAATAACGATGGTGCCAGGTGGACCTCTCTGGGGAGTGCATTCCACAGATGAATTACTCATCCAAGTAATTAACGAAAATGTTGAAGAGCACTGAGCCCAGGACTGAACCCTGAGAAACCCCACTTATTATCTCTCCTAGTTAGAGAATGTGCCATTGAGAAGCGCTCTGCATCTGATTCTGTAGCCAACTGTGCAACCACCTGATAGTTGTTCCATCTAGTCCACTTTTAGGCAGGTTGCTAATCAGGCTATCATGGGGCTCTTTGTCAAAAGCTTTGCTGAAGTCAAGATAGATTATGTCCACAGCATTCTCACAGTCCATCTGGGAGGTTACCCAATCAAAAAATGAAATCAAGTGAGTTTGGCAGGATATTATTATTATTATAACATTTCTATGCCGCCCCTTGCCGAAGCCTCGGGGCAGCTTACAACACAATAAGATACATTGAAATACAATAGAACATAATAAATTACCAATAAATACAAAAATACAAAAAATACACTGAGATACAATAATATAAAATTAAAATTAACAGTATAAAATAAGTAAATAAAGAATATAGGAGGAGGAAAGAGAAAGGAGAAGAAGTTGCCCTGGCCAGATCATATATTTTAACAATTAAAATGATGTTTAAATAAAAAGGTCTTTACCTGGCGCCGAAAAACCAGTAACGACGGTGCCAGGCGGACCTCTTTGGGGAATGAATTCCATAGGTTGGGCGCCACCGCAGAGAAAGCCCTCCTCCGAGTACTTACTCTCCTAATTTGTTCTTGAGAAATCTCCATTGGCTTCTAGTGAACACTGCACTGTTTCCAAGGTGTTTGCAGAATAAGTGCTTTACCATCTGCTCCAGGATTTTCCCAGGGATTGATGTCAGAATGACATCTGTTACTAGGTTCTCTCCCCGCCCCCCAAAGATAAGGACATAGCCCTTCTTCAGTCATCTGGCACTTCCCATCATCCATGATTTCTGAAAGATATAGAGTGGTTCAGAGACTTCTTTACTCAGCACGGCTTAGGCCTCATCTGGAATACTGTTTGGAACCATTCCATAGTTGCATCTCAAAGAAAAACTCATCAGGTGGTCAACTCCACAAAGATAACAGTGTTGCCTCTTGAAGTTCTCTTTTCTATACATTACGGCCACAAGATCTCTGAAGAGGTAAGGGAAATATGACAACCCCATCCTGTCCAATAAATAGTCCCAAACCTGGCAAGTTTAATGAAACATGTCATTGTGTTCAGCATGGATTACAATATATACAGAATTGCAGCCCCAAACAAATATTCCGAAGTTTACATTTCGGTTACAATTTGTCTAAGCAGTTGCCTCACTCTGATGCTGTTCTAAGCAGTTTTTGTAATTTAATAATAACAATAATAATCACGTGTAGTATTCCAGACTGCAATCAAAAATGAGCTTGGCTTACTGAAATGCCAAAACGGGCAAAAAGAGTGACCAGGGTTAAATGAAGGGTTAAGTGTCTTACTTGTTATGCAGCTTGCTCTCAAGTGAGCCTAACGCTACAGATAAACGGTCCGATCCTTGCAAGGAGATGAACTCAAGTGATGGGACAGAGCATTGCAACTGTACAGCGCGACTCTGTTCTGGCTCACTTGGAAAAACTTGCGTACTATACTTTGACAGGTCCCACCCCAAATCCTACGGAAGCCCAGGCATCCCATTTCTGCGCGAGCCTCGGCATGAACAGGCGCGATGGCCCCGCATCCCGAAGGCACGTGCATGTGTGTATGCTCGCCTTTGCAAGAAAAGGACAAGGGAGCAAGGAAGCTCGGTTTATCGCGAGCGGGAAGTAGCTTTTTTCAGAGCCACTACTTGATAAGAGAGGCAGACAGAGCCGTTAATGGGAGCTGGCCTCCATCTGGTTTCCCCGGGCTCCTATGCGCTCTGCTCCCGGAATCAGCTTTCCCCAACCCTTCAGATGCGCTTGGACTACAAATCCCATCATCCGCGGCCAGCACGGCTGCGCGGCGTTGGGAACCGCAGCTAGGCCCTCCAGAGAGCTTCCCGGAGTCGCCCCTCCGGGCAGACGCTCCTGTCCCCCGCTGGCCCCGGAGCCTCGGTTCGTGCTCCCGCCCACCGTGTGGGTTGCCTCGGATCGGGCGACGGCTCCGCCCCGCCGCACACGTGTGGCCGGACTAAGATGGCGTCTCCCATGGCGAGCCAGGCTGGGACGGCGCTGCGGGACTTGGCGTTGCTCAGAGCTTCCCTCCTTAGGAGGCGCAGCCCGGTGAGTGCGCCCGGGCAGCTCCCGGCGTCTTCGGCTGGCCCGTGCAGGCGCCAGCGTGCCCTGGGGGAGGATGTGGGCAGCGCACTCGCTTTCTCCCAGTTTGCCTCTGCCTCCACTGCGTGCCGTAGCCTGATCGCAGGTCTACGGTCTCTGCTTGCCCTCAGCCAGCTCCAGGGAGTGCTTAGGTGTCCCGTAGTGCAATCCTTTGCGCCTCTCTTTGGATGCAAGCCGCACTGAATTCAACACTTGTTTCTCGAGAAGGGTATATAAGATCGCCGCCTTATTTAGCCACTGTTCCGTCCTCTTCTTCCTAACAGATGTGCCAGATGTGGTTGCAGAAGTGATAAGGGAAAGGCACGCTGTACACGCTCAAACACATTTTAATGTATCAGTAAAGCTCTAGTAAACTTCTGTCCTCGGGAAACTTTGCTCGGCTACACGAATTTGCGTGCTATCCCGTGCATGCTTACTCGGAAGCAGATCCCACTGACTGAAATGGCAGTTCTTCCGTAGTAAGTGTAGTATGCCTTAATCTTAAAACGCAGTTCCAGCTTTCGGGACAGGTGGCTTGGCAAAATGCCCACGGTGTGGTGCCCACTTTCGGTTGCTATACTGGAATCTAATCCCCGCCGGCCAGTTGGCCGGCCAATCAAACGGTGAGGCCTTCTCGGTCACTTCCTGATCTGAGCAAGCTCTACTAATCGGAGAGGTCCTGCACTCGCCCTCTGAATGGAGGCAGCTGCTTTGCACAGGTTCAGTGCCTCGTGGAGACCGCTGCATGGAGCAGCCTTTCCTTGCTCTCTCCCCCTCCTTCCCTCCCCCCTGGCTGGGATTGCCTGCTCCCCCTGGGACTGCCCAAAGGGAGAAGTAGGGGAGGCACAGCTTGCCCCCTCAGCCTACCCAGAGCTACAGGACAGGGAGCGAGCAGGAGTGTGGCATTCAGCCAGTGCAGCTGCCATTTTCAATGTGCAGACTGCTCCAGGCTGGAGCATTGTTGTGTCATGCAAACCTAGGGTTATATGAGGAGTAAACGTGCTCTTTATTGGAGTTATGGGAGGGTGGTTTAACCCGTGCATAACCTCAGCACAACAAATCTCCCTTCCCAGTAGCGGTTGCATGTTCAAAATGTGCTTGTTGTGCATTAAATTATCAGTAAAGTTGTTCCAGTAAGCTTTTGCCTAGAATCTTACGCTCTGTTCCACTAATTTGAGTGTGATCCTGTACCGTCTGAAGTGCTCTGCTTGTTTTGGGCCAGAGGCAGGGAGCAGGAGGTATTTCTGCTGTGGTTGTCACGAGTATGGACAAAGGAGACCTTGCCTCTCGAGGAGATTCTTGCCAGGCTGCTACTCCTGTGGGGCAGCAGCTGGACAGCATAGACTCCCCTTCCGCAACCTGATGCTCTCCATACGTGTTGGACTACAACTCTTTTTACCCCTGGCCAGTATAGCATAGAGGTGTCTTGGCTGGGGATTATGAGAAGTATGGCCTGACCAATCTCGACGATAGCAGCCTGGAAAGACTGAGGCAGGCCCCGCTGGTCCTGAGCTTCCCTTGTTTTTCTGCAGCTCTTTTTCTGAAAATGGTATCCTCCTCTATATTTAATAATTCTTGTACTCTGCTGGTATGCCTTGACACTAAAGATAAATGTTGTCTTGAGCTTTGGTGTTGTATCTAGTTGGTGAACCACAACCAAGTAATTTGTAGAGCTTTTCAAGTGTTCAAAGCTCATCATCTCTACAGGAATCTTTTAGGGTGGGTGAGTGTCCACCAAGATTCCTGCTTGAAGGTGGGAAAGAGAACTTGCCAACTGCCACTTGGTGAAGTTTTCTTTAATCTGGATAAGCACCCGATTCTTTCCCAAAGGGTATACTTTTAAACATTATTGTTAAAGCCTTGTCTGCTATAGTTCTGATCATCCTTGATCATTTCCAATAGATTACAGGGACTGATGGGATCTGTAGGCAGGCACTTGATAGGGGATGGCATAATGGCCTAACTGCTACTGTTATTGAATCTCACCCGACTTGCTGCCCAAAGGGTATAAAATGTCTCCTAAGTCCCCCTGCCTGCTATTTTGAATATGTTTGTTCCATATCTTTTCCTGCTTTTTACTGCTGGGGTTTTTAATTACATGATTCTCTGCCAGAACCAGGTTCTCCTGTTTTGCTGGAGTTAAAAGTCTTTTATTTAGCTGTTGGTTTACCTCTATGCATACCTGATGACATATGGCAAAATTAAAACATTTAGCAAGATGAAAGAATGCTAAAAACCATGCACCGTCTGGAGTTGCACAAATGCAATTAAATTGACTTTCAGTAATAAGAATATTTCTACTTTAGCTAACATTAATTTTCCTCAGAAAACAACATTTCTGATAGTTACTTTTCTTGCTGTTTTAAATTGTTTTTAAATTTTGTAAGTTAAATTTTTATATTGTTTTCTATTTATGTGTGTTAATTTTTCTGAACCACCCAGACAACTTTAACTCTCTGGCAGTAGTGAAATGAAATAAATCATACTGAAATGGGTCCATATCAGTGGGTTCTTCTTTGTACAGGGGGATCATGGCATCAAGACTGATCTCTACTCATGGGAAGCTTTATCCACTGAGCTAGAATTGTGCCAGCAAGTAGCTGCTTCAGAATGGCTAGAGAGAGTAGTAACTGTATTTACTATATTATAAACACAGTTTCAGTATTATTTATTATAATCATTGCTGTATGACTTTACTGTAGAATAACAAAAGGGTACAATTTTACCTATGTTTAGATACAGAAATGTCCTGCAATTCCCAGCATGCTGACGGGGGAATACTGAAAACTAGAACTTTTTCTGTCTAAACTTGAATAAGAATAAGTGTGCAAGACCATCTACACCAGGGCATTCCAACTTTTCGTACCTTGAGTGCCACATGAGGACTTCTACACAGAACCTGGAGGTTGCTGCGCAATGAATTACATTTCCATATCGTAAATTAAAGTGTATGCAATATATTTATTTAATATACACAAATAATATATTTAATTAACCATTAAACATGGGAGAAAAATTATATGAGGTCTCAGCATTGGCTTTTCTCTGCAGAGGTCACAGGCAGATCCCTCTCCAACCACAGCCCAAGCACAATGACTGCTTCTCCAGGGTGGCCCATCCCTTTCTTCCCTGTTTCTCCTGCCCAGAAGCCCTCCCTGGCCCTCCTTCCTTCTCAGAGTTGGCACACTGAGCCTCTTGGCGTGAGCTGATGGCCTTTCCCCAGCATGCCCCGCACCGCTCCTGGTGAGAGCAGAAAGGCACTCAGCTCCTGAGCGCCCTTTTGCCCATCCTCGAGTGGCACAAGGCATGCTGGGATGAGTTCTCATGAGGACGCCGGTCCTGCCCTCTCTTTCCCCAAGCCTCAGGAAGAGAGCGAGACAGGCCAGCAGCCTTGGGAGAACTCTCCCCAAACAAGCCCGGGCCATTGCTGGGATCTGAACCGGTGGGGGAACAGAGGGGCTCTGCGTGGCAAGAGGGCTGCAGAGCAAGGCCTCGGGGGCTCCCTGTGGCCTGTGGGATGCGTGTTGGGCCACCCCAAGCTAGGCAGTGTGGCAGTGTTGAATAGCATAAGCATGCAGTTCATTCATCATCTTTTGTTTTTAGCGAACTAAAATTTTATGAACCTGGTGTTTGTTACCTAACTGTTTTATGGTAAAGACTTAAACTTATTTTTAAGAAATGAAGGCTGTTCTCAGCAAGAAGTTGCATGCTCTGTTTATTTAATTCACTAGTTTAAAAGACTGATGAGCTACCTTTTAGGCATGCCATGTCCCAAGGTGGCATGCAAGAAAACATAAAACCTCAATAAAAGCAGTGGTGTTCTCCAGTTTAACAGCCACCAAAACTTAAAGCAATTACAAATTTAATACAGCATCCACCAAAGTCTACTGTTATAAAGTTTATTATTATCTTGCAAACATTTATCTCTATTTATTTATACGCACATAATGTAGACATGGTGTGAAATACAAATAATTTGAAATAACCTTTCAAAAATTGAATTTGCATGTTAATGTTGCTGATTGTCTTTTAACTCAAATAGAGAGAAGAGCGAGAGTGCTAACAAAAGTCCACCCTTAATCTTTTCTGTATTATTAATTCATTATTTTATATACTATTAGCATAGGGCTCTTCAGCTGCCCTGCTTTGCAACTGTTGTACTTAATGCACTTTGGCTGTTGGGTGGTGAGAAAATGTAATCAATATATATTCTACTCATGGACAACTGATTAATTACTATGTAAACTGAATATTCAGCCAGAATAGGCAGAAGATAGATCTTGAGAAGTATTAGACTTCAACTTCCAAAAGTTCATGCCATGGTCATTGGTCAGAAATGCTGGTAGGTGAAGTCCCAAACATTTGTAGACTGATTTTCCTTTAAGTTGCAAGCCTATGGCCTCCTGAGGTCCTTTGGCCTTGCAGCTGGATCCAAATGCTGAGCCCTTCTTCCCCTTGCAGCCAGTACAGAAGGAACTGGGGTCACACATTGGATGCAGGCAGCATGAAAAAGGTGTCCTGGGGTAGAGAGCGGCTGGGGCTGGGGCTGGGGCTGGGGCTGGGGCTGGGGCTGGGGCTGGGGCTGATGGCTCATTGTGTATTCAGACAGCACCCTAGCTTTCTTTGCTCCCCCTAGATGAAATGCAGGGAGCAACGTGCTGTGGCAGTGAAGATTCCCACTGCCAGATCTTGTGCCATGCATTAATTGGATCCTCCACCAAAGTTAAATAATTATTGACTCACTAGTTGTGGGCTATATCCACGATTGTAAAAAAATAGAGAAAAAGATCTCAGTTCTAAACACTGCCCCTCCCCTCCCCTCCCTTTCCAATGGCACTTCTCTGCTATCACTTGTAAACTGTATTGCAAGGGTGAGGGAAATGAGGACTTTTGCCAAGCAGCTGTGCAAAACTCCTTTTCCTTCCACATAAATATGCTATATGTTATGGCAGCTTGCAACAAGATTG